AGGATGCCATCCATCCATCTTGCCCTTGGTCGGCCCCTCTTCCTTTTGCCTTCCACTTTCCCCAACATAATTGTCTTCTCCAGGCTTTGCTGTCTCCTCATGATGTGGCCAAAGTACTTCAACTTTGTCTCTAGTATCCTTCCCTCCAGTGAGCAGCCGGGCTTTATTTCCTGGAGGATGGACTGGTTGGATCTTCTCGCAGTCCAAGGCACTCTCAGAACTTTCCTCCAACACCACAGCTCAAAAGCATCTATCTTCCTTCGCTCAGCCTTCCCTAAGGTCCAGCTCTCACATCCGTAGGTTACTACAGGGCTTTGACTAGGCGGATCTTTGTTGCCAGTCTGATGTCTCTACTCTTTACTATTTTATCGAGACTGGACATTGCTCTCCTCCCAAGAAGTAAGCGTCTTCTGATTTCCTGGCCACAGTCTGAATCTGCAGTAATCTTTGCACCTAGAAATACAAAGTCTGTTCCACATGACTATGTACCCTTAAATAAACAGCAGTCCTATGTGGAAAGAAAAGAATATGTGTGAGTATACTCTTCGTCTCGGGATGAGTTAGCTCCCATGGCTTTATGGTTCATAATGTGGAACCAGCACAACTGAGTTAACAAGGGAGGTACTTTCCTCTTGATGTGGGTAGGCACATTTAGTAATGCCGCCCGAGGTCTCTTTTGAGCATGTGCTCATTTTCCAAATTGTTGTGACCTTTCTGGTTTTCTTGTTAGTGCCATCCATGTAATTAAGACTTGCTCCACTCTGCCTGATGATTTCAGTTGCTTTTTCCCCCCTTTAAGAGGTTACAGAGGGGAATCCGCATGGAAATGGCAGCAAGTCTGTGATTGAAACCACTCCCTGTTTGCTTAAAGCTTCAAATAGCTTGGAGGCAACCCCCCTGACCCAAAAGAATGTTAAATGCCAGGATAGGGAAGGGCTAACTGATTCTCCTGCACTAAACTTCACACAGAGCACTGTTGCCAGGACAAATATCAGCTCTGAATAGGGCATAGTTTGGATTTGGGTTGGAAGAAGACCGTTGCTGGAGAAAGGGTGAAAAACATTTACTTTGTGCAGCAGCCACACCCCACAGTCGACACAGGGAGGATGCTTTCAAGCATAAAAATAACTCAGCATTTTCCACTTGTAAGACATTACATGATGTGAGGTAACTGGTTGGGGAATGGCTGGAGCATCTTTCAAAAAGAAGTATGCAGATACATCTCCTTCTTGAAATCTATCAGTGCTGGAATTCTAGTAGAAATATTTTTAGAAATGTTTGATAGAGCAAGACTAAATCTTTCACTAAACAGGTTTGTCAGTGAGAAATTTAAGGGCTTCACACAGTTTCAAAAACACAGCAGCAAAGCAAAATACCACATCTATCCAGTTAAAAACCCCTTACACTGCAAGTGAGGCTAGCTGCTCTAGGCCTGTCTGGATAAAAAGGTTTGTACTAGCCAATGCAAAAATCAACAGGGAGGAACATGCCCATCTTTCCTCTGTAGCCTATTGTGGGGTGGCCACTCCTGATGTCTGTGGTTTAGTTTTATTTATTTTAAAATTTTAAAGAAGACAAGTGGCAGAGCTGCTAAGACAGTGGTTCTCGGCCTGTGAGTCCCCAGATGTTTTGGCCTTCAGCTCCCAGAAATTCTAACAGCTGGTAAACTGGCTGAGATTTCTGGGAGTTGTAGGCCAAAATACCTGGGAACCCACAGGTTGAGAACCATTGTACTAAGACACAGAGAGATAGATAGGTACGCATACATACACATACATGTACACACAATGGTGACATCACAGGGACAAAGAAATTTTCTTAGGAAATAAGGATGACTAGCAACCAAAGCTTTGATGTGAATTGCTCTCAGCCACTTGAGGAGTTGGAGAAAATAGAAAGAATGGTAGATCCAGTGTGGTTCCATGCTCAGTAACTCCTCTTGCGTGTTGCAGTGATTTATCTGGGAAAGGGTTAGGTGTGACCATACTTTGTAACATCCTTTCTCCAAAATGTTTGCGACCATAAGCATTTTTCACTTTGCATATATTGGGTTTTTGGTAGATTTGATTTTAATTATACACAATGAAATACCTTGGAGATGGGACCCAAGTCTGAACACGAAATTCATTGATGCTTCATATATAGTTTATACCCATAACCTGAGGGTTATTTTATACATTATTTTATAAATTTTATATTTTTGTGCATGAGTCAAAGTCTGGGTACAATGAGTCATCAGAAAGTGGTGCTACCTCTGCCATCCATGTAGAAAATTTTGCAGTTTGGAGTATTTTGAATTTTGGAATTCCAGATAAGGGAATGCTCAACCTGTACTATGGAAGAAGCAGGAAACTAGGGCTAGGCTGGAGAGTGAACCACCATGATTGGAAGAAGAAACAGAAGGAACAGGGGTCCTTTCACACTGCACCATACTATGATTCCTCTTCAGCTGTTATGACAACATCCTATGGAGTTCTGTGGTTGGCAGTACGGGGGGACATTGGAAGCTTCACCCAGGGAGCTCTTCCTCTTGTGCCTCTGATGGGAGCACAAGCCTCAGAATTCCATAGGATGCAGTCATGGCAGTTGGATAGGGGAATCATAACGCTATGGTGGTCTAGGGCAGGGATCCTCAAACTTTTCAAACGGAGGACCAGTTCAAAGTCCCTCAGACTGTTGGGCCTGTAATTCTTCAAAAAAACACGAACAAATTCCTATGCACACTGCACGTATCTTATTTGTAGTGCCAAAAACCATGAAAGAACAATATTTAAAATGAAGAACCATTTTACTCCACATAAACCAACATAAACTTACCAGTATTTCAATGAGAAGCGGGGGCCTGCATGCGATTGATGAAATGATTGTTGTTTATTGCTGCCGACTCTTGGTGACATCACGGACCAGCCCATGCCAGAGTACCTTGTCGGCTGTCGCTACCCCAGGTCCTTCAAGATCAAGCCAGTCACTTCAAGGATACCATACATCCATCTTGCCCTTGGTCGGTCTGACTTCCTTTTTCCTTCCATTTTCCTCAGGATCATTATCTTCTCCAAGCTTTCCCGTCTTCTGTGGCCAAAGTACTTCATTTTTGCCTACTATGTCCTTCCCTCCAGTGAGCTTGTTGTTTATTCGTTCAGTCACTTTCAACTCTTTGTGACCTCATGAACCATGCCAGAACTCCCTCCAGTCAGCAGTTGGGCATTATTTCCTGGAATATGGATTGGTCTTATGGTCCAAGGCACTCTCAGAATTTTCCTCCATCACCACAGTTCAAAAGCATCTATCTTCCTTCACTCAGCCTTACTTATGGTCCAGCTCTCATATCCATAGGTTACTACAGGGAATACCATTGCTTCAACTTCGTGCCAGTGTGATGTCTCTACTTTTCACTAGTTTATTGAGATTGGTCGCTGCTCTCCTCCCAAGAAGTAAATGTCATCTTATTTCCTGGCTGCAGTCTGCATCTGCATCAATTTTCATGCCTAGAAATACAAAGTCTCACTGCCTCCACATTTTCTTCCTCTATTTGCCTGTTAGCAATCAGTCTGGTTGCCATAATCTTGGTTTTTTTTAATGTTTAACTGCAACCCAGCCTTTGCACTTTCTTCTTTCACCTTGGTTATAAGGCTTCTCAGCTCCTCCTCGCTTTAAGCCATCAAAGTGGTATCATCTGCATATCTAATGTTGTTAATGTTTCATCCATGACATAGGCAGCAATATATAGAACTTAGTAATAGATATCTGGGTTAATGTTTTATCCAGCAATTTTAACTCCAGTCTTGGATTCATCAAGCCCCGCACATCGCACAATGTGCTCTGTATACAAATTTGAATAGGTTGGGTGAGCTCTGCCATACTCCTTTCCCAATGTTGAACCAGTCTGTTGTTCTGTGGTCTGTTCTTACTTTAGCTATTTGGTCATTATACTGATTTCTCAGGAGACAGTTAAGGTGACTTGGTATCCCCATGAAATAATCAAGTTAATTAGGATTGTTGTTCTTATGTGACTTCAAGTTGTTTCAGAGTTAGGGCAACAGTAAATCTAATTTTTAGGACGGGGAAATCACCTTGGAAGGCCACATCTGGCCCTTAGTTTGGGGACCTCTAGTCTAGGGAGTTCTGGAGAGAACAATTAGGACAAATTGGAATGATATTCAGTTTACTCAACATGGAGCAGAACCTGAGGAGGTGTGTGTGTGTGTGTGTGTGTACACACGTTTGGGGATGCAAAGTGAATATTTCTGAAAAAGAAAAAGTAGTGATTGGAGTGAGTAGATACAAACATTTAGATTAATCCTGCCTGAGATAGAGAACTATGGGTTCAAATGAATGGTGTTTTTTATATTCTGAGGTTTAGGACACAGCTTCTTAAAATTTCTCCACTCACAATTCATTTCCATCTGAGATATTTTTACATGACCCCTGGTACATACAATAGATATAAAAATCAAACATTTACTGGTAATAAACAGCATATATAAGGCTTGCTAAACAGGTTGGTTTTCCTTTTTGTGCAATATAGCTGAAGCATTTTTGGCAGAGTCCACTGTAAACATTGTATGTTGTTGCTTATAGATTCATGTACATATCTAGGTGGATTCAGAAACCTTTTAGTGTTGTCAAATTTTTCATTACTCAAACTTTGAGCTGAGTCAACCCCATTTGAGATTGGGACCCAACCCATGGTTTAAAAAGTAGTGGCTTAGTCTACATTTTTGTATTGTGTTCAGACTTTTGGTAATATTATTTTTCTTTTAATATTGCAAGTTTGCCTTCCTGTGTATTTGTGTGTGTGTGTGTGATAGAGAGAACCGAGACCAGCTATGCATGCCACAGCAAACACTTTGTGAGGACTCTCGTAGCATTTTTCAATGTTTCTAAATTTATCCAGAGCCCAGAGTACAGTAAACCCATGGAAACTGTTGTCAGCACCAGTGTGGAGATGTCTCCATTGAATGCACCTTAAGAATCTGTTTCTTCCCATTTCTCTTTTCCAGCATCCAGCGGGCTGCTTTAGTTATCCTGGAAAATTACTACAGAGACTTTGCAGTCTATAACCCAATGTTGTTAACAGCTTCTAAAGCACGGGCAGCAAAGCACATGGCAGGCCTGAAGGTCTACAGTGTTGATGGTAGGTCCAAAGAGGAGAAGCTGGTGGGATTGTTTGGGAACCGATACACTTCCTTATTGCCTTTCTCTTCCTTGCCCTTTGGTTGCAGGGGGAAAAGCCAAACTTTCCTTTCTTGGAGGACTTTTCCAGAGAGGCATGTGAAGCATTTTTCACAGGCTGAGAGATTCATTGTAACTGGTAGACACAGAGCATATTCACACCTTGTTCTGTATTGGGCTTAGCAATTTCTGTAGTACTGTGTTACTGACAGGTAGGAATTTCTGGGGGCATGTCCCAAGACACACGTGCAAATTTGAGCTTCTAAAAGCCTCTCTCTCTCTTTCTCACTGTCTTAACTCCATAATAAGTAAACAACATCTGCTATTTTTTCAGTCACTTTTAATCTTTTCCCAGCAAAAGGTAGAAGAAACTGTAGACTGTTAAGATTTGCAATGTTTCAGATTATTCATAGTCACTACTGCAGGGGTCCACAAACTTTTTAAACGGAGAGCCAGGTCACAGTCCCTCAAACTGTTGGAGGGCCGGATTATAATTTGAAAAAACATGAATGAATTCCTCTACACACTACACATATCTCATTTGTAGTGCCAAATCACTTAAAACAATACAATAATTAAAATGAACAATTTTAACAAATATAAACTTATTAGTTTTTCAATGCAAAGTGTGGGCCTGCTTTGGCTGATGAGATAGGATTGTTGTTGTTTTTGTGTGCTTTCAAGTCGTTTCAGACTTAGGTTGACCCTGAGCGAGGGCCAGGTAAATGACCTTGGAGGGCCATATCCGGCCCCTGGGCCTTAGTTTGAGGACCCCTGCACTACTGGGTGGGTCTTGTTTGGGCTCCATCCATACTAGAAGAGGAACCTTGTAACTGTCAGAGACCTGTACACAGAATCTCTGGAAACACATCTCTGGAAACACAGCAGTCCGAAGTCATATACAGCAATCAGTCCAACAAGGACAAAGCATACAAATAGTCCAGAGTTCTTTCCAAGGGTCAAAGCCAAGCAATCTCACCAACTCAAGCCGTAGTCCAAAACTTTGTCCAGTCGTCAAGGTCCAATCAAAGAGTTCACCAACAAGGATTCAGACTGTAGCAGTTCCACAACATTACTCCCAGCAAACTACCAGATCCAGCCTCCAGCTATTTATGCTACTTTCACAAGTGCTCTCATCTCTGCAACTCTGTATCTCTACTTCCCCAAGGCTCCTGATCCTGCTCTGCAGGAGTAGATTTCTCAGTGTCATGCCACTGCTCTCTGCTTGTTCCTGACTCAAATGATGGGGCAAAGAAGCCCTTCATCTTCATCACAAGCCCTGACAGTAGTTTTGATGTTCACACATGTGTTGTAGGGATGGGTGCGAGGGGAAAGCTGAAAGGACAATTGTCCCTCAACGCACACACAGAACCTTCTGAACTTTTCCTGTTGCAGTGCTACATTGCTTGGATTTATCCAAACACTTCATACTTAGGGATAGGCTGGGACAGTACTATATTAAGAAGTGCATGGGTGTTCCAGTCACCTGGTTTCTCTTCCACTCTACTTGCCCCAACCCTGATATTCCCATATAAGAATACATACGGCAATCCATAAAAGTTTGCCTTAGAAAGGGCGAAAAGTCCTGAATTTTTCCACAGGTATTTCAGAATCTGAGCTTGTTTCGCACTCTATCTCTTTGCAGGTCCACCTTCCCCTGAAGCGTTTCCTGCTGCCTCCCCTTACAATATCTCTCTTTTCTTAAGTAGGAACAGTAGGAACAGCAAAAACAGACAAATGGGGCAAGGGGGAGCCATGCCTCATCCCCTTTCTTCTCTCTGATGTACTGAGGTGGGCCTCAGGAGATGGAGTTCTCCAAGGCATGATTTTTTGACAGAGCTGTTCCTTTTTTGATCCTCTTCCTTCCCGTTTCACTTTCCTGCTTTTCTTTCTTTCGTTTTCTCAGTTTAACCATACACTTAATTTCAAGACTTGCATACTTGGTCTGACTTTTGGTTCTTTCTGGCACTACTTTTGCTTTAGGGTAGACGTTAGAGCTGCCCATAAGAATGGAGACATTCACAATTTCCCCATGGCTGGGTTAGAGCACCGTCATGTACCTTGCTTCCCTCTTACTAAAAGAAAAGAAAGCAGTAAAGACGAAAGGGATTTTTGACATTGTTCAAGTATTTTGATTTACCTATTTCTTCATATATATGTGAGTAGCAAACATGTTTGCATTTTTATTCCTAATGTGAGGCTGTAATTTTATGCACATTAGGCATAAAATTATAGACATGTTTGCCAGTCTCATATCTACCTCATTGACTTAAAGTGGGATGTGTGACTGTCTTGACATGCTGAAGAAAGCTGAACCTGTGAGCCATTTCTCTCCTTTGTGTTCATTCACTTTTGTCCCCCTTTCTACTGATTTTTGTGGTCATCTGGACCGAAGAAAAAAGGGAGTTTGGGCTGGATTCCTCCAGTGCCATGACCTGGAATGTATTTTGAGGAAAGATCATAATTTAGTAATAGGGTGCAGACTTTGTATGCAGAAGATTCCTAATCCCGTCTGTAATATTTCCATTAAACTTGGGACAGTGTCAACTGATAGGCTGAAATAGTTCCTGAAAAGCCATTCACATTGAATGGAATAGACAGTGCACTGCAATTGGGCCAGGGTCCTCTGTGTGTTCTGTTTTTCTGGTTGGGGCCATCTTCTTTTGTCCAAAAACGCTCTTGTTCTGCTTTTGGTGCGTCATTTTATCATGTCTGGCAGTGCTTTGTTTTTTTGTCCATTGTCTTGTGTCATTTGATGTTCTTATTTTCTGTCTTTGTTTTTGTTTCCTTTGAATCTCCTCCCAACCTTCCTCCCTGATTCTCCTGTCTCCTTTCATGCTCGTTCTTTCTTGTTGCTGAATTGCTGAATTGTGTTCCAGCTGCCCTTGTAGCCAAACTGAAAATGTATTTAGCAGATGGTAAGTGGCACTTTGGTGTGTGTGTGTCCCCTGTCTCTTGAGTGTTGCTCAATGTTGTTTTGTGTACTAATTTATATTTCTGTCAAATTTATTGTTCTTACTCCCTTTTGTTGTTGATCTTTGTTTTTTGTGGGGTATACATCTAGACGACATTTAAACTTTCTGTCCACTGAGAATTTCTTCCACTGGGTGTTTCAGAAAAAAAATACTCAAACCTTTGGTCTGAGCCCAGGAATCATTGTGCCGGGAAGGGGCTTTAGTGTCTTTGGGAATTATGGAACATATGTAATGTAGCTTTAGGGCAGTGCTTCTCAACCTGTGGGTCCCCAGATGTTTTGCTTTTCAACTTTCAGAAATCCTAACTGCTGGTAAACTGGATGGGATTTCTGGGAGTTGTAGGCCAAAACACCTGGGAACCCACAGGCTGGTAATCCCTGCTTTTGGACATCATGACTTACCTGCTACTGACAGAATCTTCTTTTTAAGACTCACTTTTCCTAATTGTCCCTGTTCCTTTCTGTCTCTCTTTGAAGGACCAGATACCAATGCTGCTGGGCAGTCCAGAGCCATGATTGCTGCTGCAGCTCACCGCAGGGATTCCAGTCACAATGAACTCTATTATGAAGAAGCGGACTATGAGCGAAGGGTCAGAAAACGCCGGGCAAGGTAAAAATTCTTTATAGGTCAACCGCTGGAAGCCATTCCTCTTTGGTCTGAAATGAGAATACTCTCTCACACACACAGACTCTTATGTAGTCTCACAGACAGCTCTTGTACAACTGCACCCCAGTAGATGCATGATCCACCTTTCAGTGGGAAAGAGTAAAATGAGAGATGCCTGTGAAAATATGAAAAAAATATGACAAAAAACTGCTATGGATTTAAATCCATAGCAGCTGAGATTAGAGAGGAATTGATGCCTTCACTGTATAAGAGCTTAGCAGCTTGATTGATGTTTTTATATGTGTTTTATTTTATTGTATTTTATATTGTGTTCACTTTTGTGTTTATTTTTAGGCACTTTGTGCTGTCTGTAAGCTGTCCTGAGTCCCTTTGGGGAGATGGTGGTCGGATATAAGAATAAAATAATAATAATAATAATAATAATAATTATTATTATTATTATTATTATTATTATTGTGGGTTCTTATACCTGGCAAATGAGAACACTCACCTGAATTCTCATACCCTTACGTGAAAAGGGGAAAGCAAATTAAAACTCTAGCCATATCCTAGTTGCCTATAGTGGGAGCACACAAGGAAGTGGTGAAAGGCAGAATTAGAGCTAGGAGATGGATTTGGATTAGGGTGGGCATGGCCAAAAACCAGTTTCTAATTATGAAAGTGGGATGTGTGTCTTCCTCACAATTTTTCCAGTGTTGTATTTCAGTGTCACATTATCTTGATGTTGCCTTCTGACATCCTATCCTGTTACATTTATTTATTTATTTATTTATTTATTTCGTGTACTTCTACCCCGCCCTTCTCAACCCCCGAGGGGGGACTCAGGGCGGCTTACAAAAAGGCACAATTTGATGCCTACACAATAATACAAATAAACGTGTAAAACAGCAATTAAAACAATTAAGACAGTTAAAACAATCAATATATATCACAATCAATAAACCAATCTCAAGCTCAGCGTTCGCCAACTCAGAGTCCATATTTCATTCTACATTATCTGTTCTTATCGGTCATCATAGTCCTTTATTCATCTGTCAGATTGCCCAAACGTCTGGTCCCAAATCCATTTCCTTCTAAAGGAAAGGAGGGATGTTGCTGATTTAATTTCCCCGAGGAGAGAATTCCACAGGTGAGGGGTCATCACCAAGAAGGCCCTGCTCCTCGTCCCCGCCAATCTCGCTTGTGATAGAGGCGGGGCCAAGAGCAGGGCCTCCCCAGAAGATCTTAAACTCCGAGGCGGGACGTAGAGGGAGATCCGTTCGGACAGATACGCTGGGCCGGAACCATATAGGGTTTTGTGGGTCAAAACCAGCACTTTGAATTGTGCTCAGAATTGGATCGGCAGACAGTGGAGCTGACATAGCAGAGGGGTGGTATGCTCCCTGTATGACGCTCCGGTGACTAATCTGGCTGCCTCCCTCTGGACTAATTGAAGATTCCGAACAGTCTTCAAAGGCAACCCCACGTAGAGTGCGTTGCAGTAATCTAATCGGAATGTAACAAGAGCGTGGACTACTGTGGCCAGATTCGACTTCCCAAGGTATGGGCGCAGCTGGCGCACAAGTTTTAATTGTGCAAAAGCTCTCCCGGCCACCGCCGAGACCTGGGGTTCCAGGCTCAGCGATGAGTCCAGGATCACTCCCAAGCTGCGAACCTGCGTCTTCAGGGGGAGTGTAATCCCATCTAACACAGGCTGTAACCCTATGCCCTGTTCGGCCTTATGACTGACCAGTAGAACCTCTGTCTTGTCTGGATTCAATTTCAATTTGTTAGCTCTCATCCAGTCCGACACAGCAGCCAAGCACCGATTCAAGGTCTGGACAGCCTCCTTGGTGACAGGTGGAAGGAGTGACAGATTTGGACATCATCTGCGTAGAGATAACATCTCATTCCGAAACTCCGAATGATCTCCCCCAGCGGCTTCATGTAGATGTTAAATAACTTCGGGGACAGGATTGAACCCTGTGGGACTCCACACAGCAACGGTTTTGAGGCCGAACAGGTGTCACCCAGTAACACCTTCTGGGACCGTCCCTCAAGAAAGGATCGGAGCCATTGCAGAGCAGTGCCCCCGAGCCCCATATCTATGAGGCGCCCCAAAAGGATACCGTGATCGATGGTATCGAAGGCCGCTGAGAGGTCCAGCAGAACTAACAGGAAACACTCCCCCTGTCCAGTTCCCGGCGAAGATCATCTACCAAGGCGACCAAGGCTGTCTCAGTTCCATGTCCCAGCCTAAAGCCAGACAGTACCGGGTCTAGATAATCAGTGTCTACCAGAAATCTCTGGAGTTGTGTTGCCACCACACGTTCCATGACTTTGCCCAAGTAGGGGAGGTTGGAAACTGGCCGATAGTTGTCTAATTGAGTGGGGTCCAGTGATGGCTTTTTCAACAGCGGTTTTATAATAGCTTGTTTTAAGCTCGCTGGAAACTCTCCTTCCTGTAAGGAGGCATTGACCATCACCTTCACCCACTCTGCCAAACCCCCTCTGGCTTCTTTTATCAGCCAGGATGGGCAGGGGTCTAGGATGCATGTGGTAGGTTGCACCTCTCCAAGGATCCTGTCCACATCCTCAAGCTGAACCAATTGAAATGAATCCAACAAAACCGGACAAGCAGATGCTCCCCAGAGACCGCTGTTAATATGGCGTCAAAATCCGACCGAATCCGCGCAATTTTATCTGCGAAGAATCGAGCAAATGCTTCACAGCGAGCCACCGTGTTATCAGGGGCCTTGAATTTTGGAGGATTTAACAGACCCCTGACAACTCGGAAAAGCTCAGCTGGACGATTCTTCGCAGATGCAATGTTGGCGGCAAGAAATGTTTTCTGTGCCGCCGCTATTGCCACATTGTAGGACCTTTAAAAGGCATTCAGATGTGTTTGGGCTAAATTGGTGGGACTCTGGCGCCACATGCACTCTAGCCTCCTCTTCTTTCGCTTCATCGCTGCCAGCTCCTCAGTGAACCAAGGGGCCGGTTTAGCCTGGCTATTCGAGAGGGGGTGTTCCGGAGTGATTGTATCAATTGCCCTGGTCATCTCACTGTCCCAGCGAGAGACCAGAGCATCGACAGAGGAGGTGGGAAAATCCCCAAGAGCCGTCAGGAAGCCATTTGGATCCATAAGTCTCCTGGGGCGGACCATTCTAATGGGTCCACCACCCCTGCGGAGGTTATGAGGCACAGTCTAAACCTGATCAGATGGTGATCGGTCCATGGCAAATGAGCGATGGTCAGCTCCTCCACCCCGTCACCCTCATCCCATCCCTGAGAAAAGACCAAATCCAATGTGTGCCCGGCACTGTGGGTGGGACCAGATAGTAATTGGGACAGGCCCATGGTTGCCATGGCGGCCTTGAAGTCCTGAGCCACTCCTGAAAGAGAGGCCTTGGTGTGGACATTGAAATCTCCCAAGACTAAGGGCCGTTGGGAACTCAACGCCATGTCCGAGACCACTCCTGCTAGCTCAGGTAAGGAGACTGTAGTGCAGCGGGGTGGTCGGTATACTAACAGAATCCCTATCCTGTCCCGGTCACCTGTCCTAAAGCCGGCACATTCAAATGAAGTTCAACAGTGACAAATGCAAATACTCCACTTTGGCAGAAAAAATGAAATGCAAAGATACAGAATGGGGGACAATGCCTGGCTCGAGAGCAGTACGTGTGAAAAAGATCTTGGAGTCCTCGTGGACAACAAGTTAAACATGAGCCAACAATGTGATGTGGCGGCAAAAAAAGCCAATGGGATTTTGGCCTGCATCAATAGGAGCATAGTGTCTAGATCTAAGGAAGTAATGCTACCCCTCTATTCTGCTTTGGTTAGACCACATCTGGAATATTGTGTCCAATTCTGTGCACCACAATTCAAGAGAGATATTGACAAGCTGGAATGTGTCCAGAGGAGGGCGACTAAAATGATCAAGGGTCTGGAGAACAAGCCCTATGAGGAGCGGCTTAAGGAGCTGGGCATGTTTAGCCTGAAGAAGAGAAGGCTGAGAGGAGATATGATAGCCATGTATAAATATGTGAGAGGAAGCCACAGGGAGGAAGGAGCAAGCTTGTTTTCTGCTTCCTTGGAGACTAGGACGTGGAACAATGGCTTCAAACTACAAGAGAGGAGATTCCATCTGAACATTAGGAAGAACTTCCTGACTGTGAGAGCCGTTCAGCAGTGGAACTCTCTGCCCCAGAGTGTGGTGTAGGCTCCTTCTTTGGAAGCTTTTAAACAGAGGCTGGATGGCCATCTGTCAGGGGTGATTTGAATGCAATATTCCTGCTTCTTGGCAGGGGGTTGGCCTGGATGATTCTATGATTCTATGATTCTAAAAGAAGATGATTGTAGGATGGGACACGTGATCAAGGGGATAAAATCCTTATAGACCACTGCGACCCCGCCTCCCCGCCCTCCAAGTCTTGGTTGGTGCTGCACAGAGTAACCTGACAGACAGAGTTGGGTGAGATTCACTCCTCCCCCCTCGTCCAGCCAGGTCTCTGTTATACAAGCCAGGTCAGCTTGTTCTTCTTGGATTAGATCTTGAATAATAGACGTTTTCCATTTACATAGTTTTCCCTTTTGACAGTCATAGATTCCTTCTGCCCAGAAATGTGCTCAGCTTCTGAGTTGTTTTACTGACTTCCAAATAAAAAAGAGAGCCTGTATTTAGGGAATAAACAACACTCGATGGTGTGTCTAGGCAGAGCAGTTTTGAGCAGCTGTCAAATAATGAGAAATGTAAGACTGAATGGAAGAGAATTCTATCACTGATTGCAACTTGCTATTCTCTGTGATACTTCTGTATGTGTTGTCAAGTTAGTGAAGGGGGAACTCAGAGATTCCATTCTTTTCTGTTCTCAAGGGGACGGCTCAGGGATGGACAACATGAACAAGTTGAGTCAAGTGAAGAAGGCTTTATTTGCCGGCCAGCAAATAGTGGTCAGTTGACTGAAAGCATAAAGAACCAAAATGGAGCCGCAATCTTTTAT